TTTCATTCCTTTTGCATAATTCTTATCGAATTCATTCAGCTAAGTTAGAATTAGGGTTAATAATGCAAAGAACAAAAATAAAGAAGACGTTTTCTCTTCCCCTTTTCTCATTCACTCTCATTCTTTCTTTCTCTCTTTTCTCACACACACACACACACAGAAACATATAAATACTTAATATAAATCTCTTTTTTTTTTCTTTTTTCATGTATCTGTGTACGTGTGCGTATTTTTTTTTTTTTGTTTTTGTTTTTTTTCTCCATTTTTTTTTTTCGCTGTTCTTGTCGATGCTTTTCTTTCATTCTTTCATTTTTGTTTTTTTTGTTTTCTGGTTCACTTTGTCGTTTCCCCAGTCTTTTTTTTTTTTTTTTCACAGCGTCCTGATGCATTAAAAAGTTACTCCGTCTCATTTCTCCCACACTTACAACGAGGAACACACATACACACACTCACAGGAGGGAAAGGCGAGAGAGAACGTACAAGAGAAAAGAGAGAGAGAGAGAGAGAGAGAGAGATCAAGGGGAAGCAGAGCGTCCCCCTTACTACCGTCAACACTCCATCATCTGCACTCACTCAGAAAGAGAGAGATTTAAACAGATAGACATAAACAACAAAAACACACACATACACATGCAGACGCCTCTAATTTTCTCTTTTTTTTTTCCTTCTCTCTTTATTTCCTCTCTTTTCCTCCTCTCCCTCTTGTTGCTCCTGCTGCTACTTTCATGGTGACATGTACACTCACGGACACATACACAGACGGCATATGTGTATAGATGTGTATAGATGTGTGCCTCTCTCTCTCTCACTCACTTTCTCTTTCTTTCTCTCTCTCTATCGTCCGCGTTCCTCCTCATCCTCTGGGTTCAGTCGGATGCAGTCATCGATGCGCAGCACCGTGACGGCGGCCTCTGTGGCGAACTGCAGGGACTTCACTTTACTCGGCTGCGGCTCCAGGACGCCTGCCTCAATGTTGTTCCGCAGTGTGCCCTCGACGAGGTCGAGTCCACAGAAGCGTGCCTCCTGCTTCTCCTCGCTGTGTGCGACGCGGAGACGGGCGACGAGTTCGGTGGCGTCGAGAGCGGCGTTGAGGGCGAGTGTCTTTGGAATGACGAGCAGCGACTCAGCGAAGGCGGCGATGGCGAGTTGCTCGCGTGAGCCGAGGGTGTGGGCGACGTTCTCCAAGTAGACGGAGAGGGCCGCCTCCACCGCCCCGCCGCCGGCGACGACGCTGTGCGCCTCGAGGGTGCGGGCGACGGCCCACAGGGCGTCGTTGAGGGCGCGCTCCATCTCCTCCAGCACCATGTAGTTGGCGCCGCGGCAGACGATACTCGCACACACCGCACTCGCCGTGCCGCTGATGATAATCACGTCGTCCTCGCCAAAGCGCTCTTCGTACACGCGAGAGGCCGCCCCGAGCCACGCCGGGTCGAACACCTCCTCGCCGTCAAGGTCAGAGAGGGTGTGCACAATGCGGGCACCCGTCGCCTTGGCAATACGGCGCATGTCGTCGTTCTTCACACGGCGAACACCAAGAATGCCCTCATCCACCATGTACTTCATCATGCTGTCCTCAATACCCCAGGAGGTGAGAATAACATTGGCACCAGCCGCAATCATCTTCTTTATACGCTCCTTCGTGATATCCAGTTCACGCTGGCGAATCGCCTCCGCCTTCGTGGGATCAGTAATGGTGATGTTGATGCCTAGCTTCATCTTCACAGCACGAAGGTCAAAGTCAATAAGTGCAATACGGGCATTTTCCACAGAGGTGGGCATACCTTGCGCCGCACGGGAAAGACCAAGGGCAACACCCTGCAAAAGTACAGATTCTCGTGAACTCTTACCATGTTGAAGTAAGATGCTCACCGCCTTACGAGGATATACCACATCACCAAAATCATTTACCGTTTTTACAGAAAGGATTGCATCCACAACCATCTTGGCAAAAAGGTCAGAATCAGAATTAAGAATCTTACTGCTCATTGAAGTGCGAGCAACGTTTAACAAAACATCTTTGCCCAAAGCATCCACAGAAACACTGAGATTAGACTGAAGGTATCGTACGGCTTCACGTAAAGCAAGCTTGTAACCGGCGATGATGCTTGTGGCGTGAATACCGGATACGATGAGGTCCTGAGCCCGCTTAAGCAACTCAGATGCGAGAATCACAACAGAGGTTGTGCCATCACCAATTTCCTTATCTTGAAGCTGCGCGAGATCCACAAGAAGACGTGCGGCAGGGTGTTCCACGTCTAGGCTCTTAAGAATGGTTGCTCCGTCATTTGTGACACACACATCGCCAATGTCATCGACCAGCATCTTGTCAAGGCCAATAGGTCCAAGTGAGGACTTCACAACGTTGGCCACCGCCAAAGCTGCGGTCACGTTCTCACGGCGCACCGCCAATCCACTTGTGCGGGTACCGTTGATTCCTAACGCCGCCTTCTGCTTGGTTTGCATCCTCTTTATGAAGCTCAATCAAGTAAATCTTCTCGAGAAAAATAATAATAAAAGAAAACATCAAGGAGAAAAGGAAAAAAAAAAAATCATTAAAAAAAAAAATATATATATAGGAAAAATCATCAAAGAACAAGTGGTTGGTTATTGCTTTGATGTCTAACAACAACAACAAGAAAAAAAGTATCAGCAACAGCAGCAAACAAAAATCCCTCATAAACAGAGAAATACGTACGGACATTCTATTTTCTCACATTGGAGAGAAAAAAAAAAAAGAGAGAGAGAGAGAGAGGAAAAGAGGAAGAAAAACAAAAAAAAAAAAAAAAAAAAAAAAACTATACAGACAGAAACATACAGAGACAAAGAGAAAAACAAGTCCTTCTCTTTATCTATATATCCTTTTCCTCACTCATTTTTGGCTCCTTATACCATTGGAAGCATCATCTCTCCAACCCCCTTAAAGGAAGGAGAGACATCTCATGCCTCACCTGCTGACATTAAACGGTTCGCACTTCTTGAAAGAAAGGCAAAGAGAACTCCAGCCACTACAAGTATCATGGAAAAGAAAATAATAACTAAAAAACCACCCATATTTTTACGAACGGTAGAGTAGACAACACCAGTACAAACCACTGGAGACATTGGAGGAAAAGATGGACAAATTGGGCACACCTGTTCCACCCATTCTGGTGGTTCACTTGCGTTATAGCAAAGCTCAGGGACACAACAACCAAAGTGAAATCCAGAACAATTAAATCTTTCTTGTAAAAAGCAAATATCATAATTTTTTTTATTTTTTGTATCATTTACACCACGTTCCCATGAGTAAAGAAATAAACTGGGGTCCATTACACTAACTCTGACATCTCGATCATATATACCAGCAATAATAATAAGGACAATTAGTGCTATGAACAAAATAACGAGAAGGGCAACATAAACTAACAAAAACACCATTTGTCGTTTTCGTATCCATATAAACCCAAATATAGTAAAAAGCCATAGAATGATTCCTAAAATAAGGGCACACCAAGCGATACGACTACAAGGCCCACAGAGACGAACAGCTACATTCCCACGAGCAACAATACCGGACATGATTAATAACATTGATGCTACAATAAAGGTAAAATTAATAAATATAAGAGCGTAACCAAAAAGAGAGCGAAGAATCTCTCTAGAATAAAATGAAACTGGATTATTACTCATATTTTCCTCCGTCTCATGGTTATCTTCATTATTACTAGTACCGCTTTTTTCGCTATAATTACTATCACAGCGACGATGTGAACTCCCAAGAGTTCCTTGGTGCGTAATCCCTAGTGATGTGTTTGCCGCATTCCCACGAACAACTCTAGAAACTTGAAGGCTAATCACTTCGCGTGGTTCCGTCACGTTATTATCGCCAAGTATAGTGTCTACGAATGAATCTCCAGATTCATCTCTTTTTATTCTTCGCATAAAAGGTACTCCACAGACACAAACACAGAGGCCCTCTCTATCTCTCTATCACTTTTTTTTCTTTCGGATTCTATACCTTCTCTATGTATAACCAAGTATTATTATTTTATTTTTGTTTGATGTTTAGTAAAAAGAAAAGAAAAAGAAAAAAAAAAAAAACACAATCATTAGTAATGGACACAATAGAAAGAACATCGAATTAAAAAGAATTTAAAAAAAAAGAAGGCTTAAATGAACGGGAATAAAGAAAGGGATTAACGGTGTAAGGTGAGTACATGTCGTAAGCAGACCTCATGGACATTCAATCAGACTCACCCATCTCCTACGAAACTTTATTTTGATTATTAATAATAATTTCTTTGTTTGCATCGTTTGTCCCTTTTGCTTTAAGCCATTTTTGTTTTTTTTTTTTTTTGTTTTTGTTTTTTGTTGTTGCTGCTGCTAACCCATTTGCTTGCAGATGCGTACGTGCGAGTGTAATTTTTGGGTATCATTTCCAAGCCTTTTTGCTACATACTCCGCATTAATAATGACGCTCCTTTTAAGCTCTTGTTCTATTTTTTTTTTTTTTTTTGCATTCCCTTCCCGTTATCTTTTATCAAACGTTTTTTTTTTGCTTTTTTTTTTTTGCTTTTCACCCTTTCTTTTCATTTTATTTTTTCATCCTTGCCTTTCAATCCCCCCAGTAAACACAAGTCATAAACTATTATCATCATCATCATCATCATCACACAGACAGACAGACAGACAGAGACAGAGACAGAGACAGAGACAGAACCACCACTTTATCATTTTATAATGGGTGGTAGAATCCACTAAAGTTTTGACATTGTCTTCTTTGCGTTTTTCTGGCGTTGGATGAGTTCGTCCTCTCGCTTCAGCAGTCCCCTGAAGTACTTGACTGTCTTCACTTTCATTTCCATAGTGGCCTCCTCATCCAAGCAGAGAACAGCGGAGGGATGCATCTGCAGGGCGGTGATGGGATGACTGTGGCTGATGCTGCCCTCCATGCAGTGCGCCACCGCCACCGCCTTGTTTGAGCCTGTTGCGATGACGAGCACATTGCGGGCATTCATTACGGTTCTAACACCAACCGTGAGGGCCATCGTCGGCACCTTGCGGATATCATTATCAAAGAAACGCGCGTTGGAGGCGATGGTCTCTTCATTGAGAGACTTGACACGGGTGAGGCTGTCGAGACTGCTTCCGGGTTCGTTGAATGCGATATGGCCGTCTGTGCCAACACCCGCGAGGAAGAGATGAATGCCGCCCACCAGACGGATCTTATCTTCATAGCGCTGGCATTCCTGAATAAGGTCTGGCACCGTACCATCGAGCAGGTTACGGTTCTCTTCAGGAATATCAACAAAGTCAAAGAAGTTGGTTTTCATAAAGTAGAAGTAACTCTGTGGGTGATCGCGTGGGAGACCAACGTACTCATCCATGTTAAAGGTGATCACATTGCGGAAGGAGACACGACCCTCGCGATATGCTTGAATGAGGCGCTGGTATGTCTTTAGTGGGGAACCACCAGTGGGAAGACCAAGCACGAATGGGCGCTCCTTTGTTGGGCCAAAGTTGCGGATCATGGTAATAATATACTCCGAGACGTAATCGGCCACAGCGTCAGCATCCTTAGAAATCACTACACGCATCTTTATTGATTTATGTATTCGAGTTCTTGTTTTTTTAACTAGTTTGGCGGTTTGCCTAATAGAGAATTAAAGAATAGTCTTTTCTTTTTTTTTGTGTTATAGATGTGTTGCTTGGTTTGTTTGGTTTTACCCAGAATCGGGTTGTTTTGCAAAGGAGGGGGGGGGGGGTACAGGCAAAAGAAAAGAAAAGAAAAGAGAAAAAAAAAAATAGATACAGGAGTAAAAAACCAAAAAGAAAAAGCATCAGTTGTAGAAGTTGCGGCAGTAACGCAAAAAAAAATAAATAAATAATAATAAATAATAACAATAACAAAAAGAATGGAAAGGACGCATACGTTGCAGAGAACAACTTCACAAAAAAAAAAAAAAAAAAACGCAAAGAAAAGATAAAAGCAGACATATATATATATTTCAGTTGTTGTTTTTTTTTTTTTTTTGCCGCCCACTACATCCACACAAATCCTGACATGAGAGAAGCAGGAGTTTGTGTACTCGAGAAAAGAAAAAAAAAGGGCATGCATGAATGCTGAGAGAAAAGGTGTAAAAGGAAAAAAAAAAAGATAAAAGAGTGGAGACAAAAACAAACAAACAAACAAAAAAAAAGAAACAAAAAGGTGGGGAGAGGAGGTGGGAAGGTGACAAGGTGCAGAGGACCTGAAAATTAATGGGATCTCAACCCAAAAGGAAACATCAATCCCTGCACATGCCAACCGGTAAACACAGCGAAAACCCACGGATCATATGCAGAAAAAAACAGATATACAGATATACAAGCAGATATACAGAGACATAGAAGCGTAAAGAAGGAAAAAGAAAAAAAAAAACAGACAGACGCAAATAAAGAGACGGAAGAAAGAAAGAAAAAAAAGAGTAAAAAAAAAAAAGAGAGAGAGAGACACAGACATAGTCGATACATTGAGTTGTGTAGTCCGATACTTTCTCCTTCATTACCCTTTCCATTTCACCAAAGACATTTACTTCTCTTTTTGTCAACAAAAACGGACTAACACAAAGAAAAGGTGTAATAAAGGAAAAATAATAAATAAAAAAAAAAAAAAAAACATCACTCCTCCACTCTCCTCCCCCCCACCCCACCCCCCACAAATCCGAACCTACACTTCATCACTATATAAGCTAATAAATCTGTACACGTACTTTGGACTAGTTTAAGCTCATTCTGCTAACTCACATATATTCTATCTTTTCTTGTGGTTGTTGTTGTTGTGGTTGTTCTCTTCTCATCTCACTCTGGTATCGAATGAGCATACACAATACGTATCGTCTTGTCAAAAAAAAAAAATGAAACATTTCATCTTCATTTATCTTTTTGAAGGGGCATCTTGAAAGGAATACTTTTGCCCTGAGACATTGTTGTAAGAATTATTATTTCCTGGGCCCCCTGGGGATGCTTCTTTCACTCCCCCTGGTCCCATTGCACGTTTGTTTTGTTTTTTCTTGTGTTTAGTGACATTGTTGCTGGCAGTGCTATTTCCAGCACCTACATTCGATGTTGTGTGGGTATGAGTGGTATTTGTTGTTTGCCCCGTATTTGCATGCGTGTTGTTGGGTGCCAACTTTTGTACAGAACTGGTATTACCATCTCGAATAACGGATAAAGCATTAAGGGCGACACTGCTAGTAGTAGTAGTATTTGTCGTCGTCGTTGTCGTATTAGTATTATATGGTGCTGGTACAGGTGAACTTCGATCACTTGGTAATGCGGGAAACATAGGGTAGTTGAGTTTGAGTTGTTTTTTTAGTGATCCTGACTTCCACTTAGTCGACTGACCACTTTTATTAACATTACCAATCCCTTTTCTATTTCCACGACCACCTACGGGTGTACTTGGGTTGATACCAGAGACTTTCTGTCCTTTATGAACAGAAGGGGAAGAAGGGTTCATTGTATTATTCACAGCATGACCCCCACCGGCGTATTTCATCGTTTGAACTGGACTAGTAAACATTTCATGTGATCCTTTATTTTCTGATTTATTTGTATTTTTCATACCATTACGCATTGGAGATGATACATTTTGATAGGGTTGATGTTGACGACTGGCAATGTTTGGAAGTTCCCCTGTATTTCCCGTACTACTCCCTACAGTTGAACCCAAGTAATGGTTCCATAGTGTTCCCAATTGTTGAAAAGAAGCCGCAGCAGCTCCACTAACACCAACACCAACAACACTACTACTACTATTTCCACCAACACCAACACTATTACTAGCATTTCCACCACCTCCTCCTCCACCAACCATAGCTGTAATAGCAGTACCAGCCACTAGAGAAGAACTTTTGTTTCCCATTGAACTCCCATCATTTGCTTCCATACCCCCAGATGGTGATACTGTTGTTAATAATGGTAACATGAGTTCACCTCCCTCCTCAAGTTCCGTTCCTAGTGGTTGTCCCTTAGAATGTAAACTGAGAGGGCTAGAAACAGTTTGGGGTTCTACATTTGATTTAAGACCTTGTTGGCTTTGTTGAAAGAGTCTACGTAGTTCCACTTCATATTCTGCTCTAAAGTTGTCTTCTGTAAAGTATGGAAAATTCATTAATGCCGCACACGAAGGACGTTCTGCAGGATCTGTGCGTAGACAAGAAGTTAAAAACTCTAACCATGGTTCAGGAAATTTGTGAAAACGTTGACGCAATGTCAACTCAATCGGAGTTGATGGAAACATAACACGGCGATATAAACTGTTGTGTTCAAAAATATCCACCATTCTATTTGGAACAGGTCCGCATGTACGGAGAATAAGAGAAAGTTGATCCAAATCCGATTCTCCAGGAAAGAGGGGTTGTCCATCTGATAACTCAGAGAAGATGCAGCCAATGGCCCATACATCCACAGCTTTACCGTAAGAGACATCTCCAACTAATAACTCTGGTGCACGATACCAACGTGTAGCAACGTAATCTGTATATTTCCCTTTTGAACTTAACTGTCGGGCAAAACCAAAGTCGCAAAGCTTTAATAAACCCTCCTTTGATACTAATATATTTTCCGGTTTTACATCTCGGTGGATAATGTTATGTGCATGACAGTAATCCACTCCGTTAAGTAACTGATAGGTATAGCGACGCACATCCTCTGGTGGTAAACCATGCCGTTTTTCTTCAATGAGTTGCAGTATCGTGTTCTCCACATATTCAAAGACAAGATACAATTTCCCATCACGACGAAATACATCCAATAGTGAAATGACATTTGGGTGTCGAAGCTGTTTCAATACCCGTATCTCACGCAGAGATGTCTTGCGTACATGATCATCGTCCTCTGCCTGTTTGTACTTTTTAATGGCCACTAGTCGTCCAGTGGCCCGGTGGCGTGCCTTCACAACTACACCGTACGTCCCCTCACCGAGAACACCTAATGTCTCGTAGCCTTCCATTCACAAATGGACGTCCGTCTTCACACACACACACACTAACACTACCGCTATTATTATTACTACCAACAACAACAACAAACCAACTCTAACAACACCCCAACCACTTATTAGCAACAAACACCTGCTGCTGCTGTTGTTGTTGTTAATATCGTCGTTGCTGTTACTGCTGCTGTTGTTGTTATGGTTTGGTTGGCACCTCAAGAAAAAAGGAAAAAATTACTCTATAGTCAGACAATCCTCTCCACAACAGCAACAACACAAACAATAACCTCCACTCACACTATAAACTTGTATTTTCTTCGTATTGTCTTTTTTTTTTCTTTTTTCCTTTTCTTTTGTTTTTTTTTTTTTTTCCTTTTTTTTTTTTTTTTCCTTCACCGTTGTGACTTGGTTGCTGATGAGTTCACTTCTGTAGAGAAGAGAACACAAACAAGCAAAGAGAAACGGTGAAATCAGCCTGCGATGCCACACTAAATGCCACCAAGAGCAGCAATACGGCAGAGCTGTGGGCAGACAAAACCACCCAACTATATGCTTCCCGCTACAGAAGAAAGAAAGAAAGAAAGAAAGAAAAAAGAAGAAAGAAAAAAAAAGATTTTAAGTACCCAGAACCAGTATACTATGGTATTCAGAGAGAGAAAACAAGAAAACAAAAAAGAAAAAGAAAAAAAAAAAACAAGTATTACTTGATGTATTTAACCAGAGAAATATATATATATATATATATATATATAGTGGGGAAGAGCTTAGATGCTTACATCATCACTCGCCTGATCCTCACATATCAATATTAAACGTATAAACGCTATGGCTGCACGAAGAACACCTGTTGTTACCGCAACTGGTTCAACGAAACTAATACAATTGGACTCATTTATCTCTTCTTGATGAAATGACTCTTCACTCTCAGACTCACTACAACTGCTTTCGGTATCACTACAGCAAAAATACCTTCGCTTATCATCCTCATCCTCATCCTCTACTTGTGATGATAGTGTTGGATTTATCATTCGTCGATAATAAGTGGGATCTTCACGAATGTAAACATGCAATGGTGCCTTATGTACAGATGTGAGAGAATGTATCATCTGCGTTGGATCTATTTGCATTTCATTTGCCTCCAAATGCCACCAACGACGTTTTAATGGGTAGTGATGGGCCGTGAGATGTGCGGCGAGATGTCGTGGGACTTCCAACAGGGCCTCTGCGAGTAATTGTAATACCGCCACCACAACGGGTGTATGGGAATGAGAAATAGCAGAGATATTCACAGCGGCATCCTTAATAACATTATCACTATCACTATTACTTTTCTGTTTTAATAATGTCTCCGCACAACGGCGCATCTGACGGGCGAGTGCAATAGAGAAGGCACCACCAGCTCGTATAAAGCCCAATCCACATTCAGAGTTTACAGCACCAGAGTATGAGGATCCATCAAGAGCCATTAACAGACTTGCCGTAGTCTTTAATAGTAATGCCTTATACATTGAAATAAGATTGGAATTTGAAGCTACTAGAAATATAGAGCCTATTCCTTTTAGATCTTCTCTCTCTTGCAGAGACACACTACTATACGGTGGTTTAGACTTGCACAACTCTATTAATACCACAGTTGTACTATTATTATTATTATTATTATCTCTCTCTCTTACTCCAAAGTGTGGAATGGAGGATGGAAAAATTACATTTAACGAGTGATGCATAATACGTTCCACAGGTAAAATAGCATCGCCGGGGCATTCTGGTAACTCCAACTTTCCACGTCTTAGTATAGCTACATCTAAAGAGGAGAATATCCCATGTTTTTTAATATTATTATTATTATTATTATTATTATTATTAATATTATCTCGTCTGTCATGACGCCAGTATTGCAGACGTCGCAGTAATGCATTAAAAAGAGTTTCATCCACTTCATCTACCATAAAAATAGGGTTCTTTTTGATTGTATTCGTCTCACTTTTGATATTATTAGTATTAGTATTATTATTATTCTTTTTGTTGTTTTTATCATCACTATCCATATTAGTCTTGAGCCCTTCTTTAGTATTATACCGCTGCCCATAGGTTTTAATAACAGGAGGCACATATGAAGGAGTTAAGATCACACGTATGTTATGATTCCATGCCCATGTATATAAAATATGTGCGGCTTCTAATTGTGCTTCTTCCTGTTCAGTTCTTGTCCACATACGCTGCACCTTCCGCACTCCTTCTTCACTTTCCCTATCCCACTCTTCACTCTCTTCATCGTTGTTATTATCTACTTTGGAGTGTGCAAAATCCAGCAACCCACCTTTATCATCTATGTGTAAAAGTAAAACCATCAATGGTCCATCTTCTTCTCCTTCACACTTCTCCAATATAAAGAATGGTGTTCGTGTTCCCTCGTGTGCTGTTAGTCTTGAGGAAGTAGTGGGCAACAGAAATGTACCAAACGGAAGTGAACGTGAGGACCATATACTTCTTCCTAGAGATGGTATTATATATGAAAAGGGATCCATTAAGAGAGCACGTGCACGATGCAGAACCGATTGCGTGTTTACTCGTCCCTTTGGAATGGGTGAATTGTATAGAAAACAAAGAAGAAGTCTGCAAAGTTTCATCAGTACATCCCCTTCAACTTCTGTACACATTGTATAGTGAATACAACCCTCTAATACCTGTCGTGTAATCGTTGCACTCACCGAATATGAGTATGGTTGTATATCCCGCAAAGCGATGAGTGTTATTTTACCAATAATATCCGTAGATGTTCCTTTCCATTCCTCACATTTGAGTGAAAAAGGAAATAGTCCTTCCAAATCTCCAGGTGTTATTAACTGTTGGAGTACTCGTATCAGACAACGTCTATTCTTTGCTGCGGATACTGTATCTATTAAAGGATACTTCACCTGAGGTGAGATGAATTGACGTAATAGGGCGGCACTCATAATAAGTAGTCTACCATGTCCATCAGGAAGATTATAATCTTTTCTTTTTTTCAATCTCATCATGGAAGTAACTGCTGTATACATGGCAGTTGTTTCTCTAAAAAATAAACCCCACAGTACTTTCCATCCTTCCAGCTCTGTCATTCCTTGTAGGATATTAACAGCCCTCGGCCGCAGCAAAAGCAATTGAGCCTCCACAGAGACAAACGCTGAAAGAAGACCGTGTGGCCCAATGTGAAGTTCATCCGCACATTCCTGCAGTAACGAGACTAATGTAGAGAGTCGGTGTGTGGAAGGAGGCGTAAACACAGACCGCCGTGGTGATGAGAGACGTTGTGGGCACTTCTTCACATCTTTTTCTTCTTCTTCTTCCTCCTCTTCTTCTCTCTTTTTCGCTATCATTATTATCTCATGTATGCCTTCTCACTTATCCAGCACTCACACATTCTCTCCACTCTGTTACTGTTACTACTGGGAAATAAGAGAAAAGAAAAATAAAGAAAAAAAAGAAATAAGCACAACCCACGATTATCAAAACTCCAATAATAGCTAAAGATAAACCCATATATATATAGGTATTAACATCACCCCATGATTTTCATCCAAAAAAAAAAAGAAGAGAAAAGCTCTATTGAGCTACGACTCCACATAGTAGTCATAATCCGATGGAAGAAGTACACGAAAAAGAAAAATATATATATATTCCCCTTTTTCCACTCATTCCTACACATCACAATCTCTCTTCTATGTGTGTGTATGTGTCCCTCTTCTTCATATTCTCTCAGTCTACAATCATGCATGTTCACTTCCGTATCGGACTTCACAAAATACAGAGAAAGCCAAACACACCCACATATATATATATACACACATATACACAGCAAAGATAATAATAATAATAATAATAATAA